TATTTTAAACTGACACGCACACCTACGCACATTCATGGGGTTAGATAGTTTTAATATCCGTCCAATTATATCATATATGTGCACCTCATAACGATAATTTGCTTTATGTGTCCTTTGAATAAAAATTGTAAATTGTTTAAATACATCTGTCACACGTGGCAGAACCACGTTTTGCGTTCCGCGATTCTGAACAAATTGTAGATGCCGAAATCATCTAAGCAAGTAACGATGGTATTATTTTTTGTCTTGGCCGACTATAAAGTTTCAACTTCTCTTTAAGGAACTCCATAGATAATAAAGAGAAAAACAGTTGATTTGATTATAATCCACCGCCTTTTTCTTTTTGAGAGTGGTTTTGGTATTCGTACGTCCAAGTAATCTACATATACTTTTCTTATATAGAATTGAGGAATTATTTTGAAATTTTTTTAGGTAACTTAGGTTACGTTTTTTTTAGATCTTCTAATAAATTCAAATATCAAGTGTAGTTGGCGACTTACTGCAAACTTCGAATTTGCGGGATAGTCTATGGTTCCGCCTGTTAGGGTCAACTTCTAAGTTACAGTTAAAATACTGACCATTAAAACGCCGAAGAATTAGAAATAAATGGCGTGATATTATACATAATATGAAATTATTCGCAGCTTTGGAGATATTAGGGTAATGCGGTCCAATGGTCGAATGGTATGTTTATAGATCAATTGTATGTTAATGTGGCGCCTACGCATTCTTGGTACTCAGTAACAAGTAAGAAAGTTATATTCGACGTAGGCCGAGTCTCGCATACCCATCACTATGCTTTTCGCATTCTACTCTCCAAGTTCTCTTATTTGATGCCTATGTCGTTGGTGTTATTAAGAACAAAATTATTTGCGGTGTCTACCATATTTACTTTAAAATTAACCCATTTTTAGGCGGGTAACACAACTTCATCTGAGGAATGTGCAAAATCGTTTTAAATATTCTGTCTTGTTTGGCTTATGATAAATAAATGTTTCTACCAAACTTGAAGTCAATTTCTCCCTTTTTCGATCACTGCAAACACCTCACAGACAAACAGATGGACAGACATGCCCATATCCACTCGAATTTCACGCTGATCAAGGGTCTGTGCCATTTCCTTTTAGGTGTTACATGCATTATGAAAAAAAAAAACAAAATGGGTAAGATGAGGGTATAAAAATATAAATTTTTATTGAAACAATGTAATGTAACATGTAACTTGTAGCCGTACCAATAATGTGGTTAAAGTTCTAGCATTCTGCGGATTTACCCAAAATTTCTTAAGAACTGTTGTCCATGATTTTTTGGTAATTTTTAAGCTTAACAGGCATTATCGCATAATTCCTTTTCCGGAATTCTATATAGTCTAATCTTGTCATATTCTAAGCGGTAGAAGCGGGAACCCTCACCATCATTTTAAAGGTCAAAGATATGCATAGCTTGTCATAAATCAATAACTTATTATACGTTCAACGCCACAATTTATAATCATTTGCTTTTTTATTCTTGACGTCATGCTCTCGATATTCTTTCCTATCCTTTCTCGTTAGCATGATTGGTTTACGCAATCGATTATATATCGATTTATAATACAATATATGTTCTCTCAATATTAGGTATCGAAGATGTTCACAGGCATAAGCAAGCATGCGTGCTCGAGCTTTTAGAGACTTACTTACCCAAAAGTTCTTTACCATAGTGAGCATTTCTTTCTTTCTATTTTTCTTTTGATCTATTAATGATGTAAAATTGATGTGAATCTAGCATTAATTATAAACCATTAGTTTTAGAAAAACGACAATCGGGAAGCTTGATCAATTGACTGCTGATTCGTGTATATCATGCAGCGTTTTTCTCTCCTTATTGGGAATCGTAACCATATTCCCTTATTCCCCAAAGTTTGTTTATAAATTGAAAATAAACCGAGACGCGACCAAATGATTTGCTTATAAATTGAAAATATTTAAGGTATAGACTGATGTAACAGAATGAAATCCAAAGGTACCAAGTTATTGTGCACATTAGACACTTCTCCTTGTGCTTTAATTTACCCAACGTAACTGTAATAAAACACGTATTCATGATGGGCAGTAAGACCACATCAAATATGTAAAAAGTTTGGGAAATTTCAGTTTAATTTTTTCTTATTTTCAAATTAATTTTTTTTTGTTTATTTGGTTGAGTAAAATAAACTTCGCAAAATTTTAGTGCCAAAGCGTACTCGATCGTTGCCATTTGCATTTTTAGATTTTTACTGCATCTATTTTAATATTTAAATAACATTAAAGTATTGTGCGCAGAGCCATCGATGCTTGGTCAAATACTTAATTGAAATATTAAAACTTATTTTTTTGAATTCATAACTTGAAGTCGGATAAAAATATGGTAAAACGAATTTTTCATTTTATTAAATGCTAGAAAGTTTTCCTTATTTATTTATTTTTTTTTTTTTCTAGCGAAGTAGGCCTAGACAAAGTCGACCTTTACTGCCTGTACTGTTCTTATTAATAAGAGGGAGAGAGAGAGAGAGAGAGAGAGAGCGAGAGAGAGAGGGAGAAAATTTCTTTATAGAATAGTATAATAACCTTGCTTAACATTTCCTTTAAGCCTACGGGCCGTATAATGTTGTGTTCTTTGATAAAAGAAGCAAATAAAAAATAGTCACATACGAGAGGCTTAAATTTCAAATATACTTGAATGGAAGGTTGTTATTAGACGAGAGAAGAAAATAAAAATAAATAAAAGAATAAAAAAATGACTATAATAACAATATATATAATATATATATATATTTATATATATATAAAGAGGAAATGGTGTGGGCGGTAATTAGTTTCATCGTGGTTTGTTTCGCATTGACGTAGTCGTCAGCATAAATGCATTGTTTTAATAACACAATCTTCGCAACACGTTGCAAAGATATTCAATTTTCAATACGGATAAGATTTATGATAAAAAAAATTCATTTTATTAATATGAAGAAACTGCCTTTTATGTTAATTTTTACAATCTTACAAATAATCGTCATTTTTTATGATAAACTAACTGTCGCCGATCTTTAAAGTTACTTTAAAATCAAACTTAATATATAACATTTTCGTTTTTCTGCCCTTAGCAAACTACTTAAAAGGGAAAAGTCTAATATTTACAGTGATGCAGTAACAAGTAGTACACAAGAGTCTTTGGTGATTGCAGACTTTTTAATATTGCTTTCAAAAAGCAAACATATAAGATCAAAAAGTGTATAAACGCAAGTAAGAACATTATAGTCGAGCAAGATCGACCATTAAATATCCTACACCATATTGTCTGACACAACTCTTATATTTGGATGAAATTACTATTTTGATATAATTTCCATCGTGAAGCATTAAAAGCAAAAATATTTCGTTTCGTATTATGAACTTCACTTTTCATTATAAGAGAGGGAAATTGTGAAAGTTACAATTTTTTTCCATAGCGTTCGTCCTTGGCACAAGCGACTGTATCAAATTTCATCAATATATCTCAAAAATTGCGACGTGTAGCTTGAAAACAAATTTATATGGACAGACATCAAACATACAGACAGGCTTAGATCAATTCAGATAACGTCTCTGAATCGATCGGTATAATAAAAGGTGAATCCATCTTAAGCCGTTCTGCGTGTTACATACAACCGCTGTAAGTTAACATAGCCTGTGCCACGAGTGGTGTAGGGTATAAAAAGGCGAATAAATAAATAACGCAAATGCAAACACTGTAGTGGCATATGGTGCGCGCCCTTAAACTACCCTTCACAACTTTGCTTCGTACAGTTATTCATATAAAGATCTTTCAAAATAATCTGTTACAGGGAATGTAGTCGGAAAGGTGATCCGATTCAAATCTTTTTCAATAGCGTTTGTGCTTGGTCCGAAACATGTCCATACACGAAATTTCATCAAAATATCTCACAAATTTCGATTTGTAAGCTGAACAAAAAAACCAAGACAGACAGACGGACAGAAAAGCTTACATCGATCCGGTAGGTGATTCTGAATCGATCGCTATAATAAAAGATGGATCCAACACAAGTCCGTCTGGGTAGTGCATACGTCCGCAAAACCTTAATATACTCTCGTATCATACGTCAAGGTATAACAACCTAAGCAAGTCAATAAGGGAAAACATACTGTTAATGGTGTAAAAGCGAAGCAAACGCATCTAAACTACGTATTTACTTGATTTTCTGTTTTGTGTCGTGCGTGAAGCGAAACGCGAAAAGTAGTCATTGCTTTCAACGCTTGGGATTGTACCACAAATAAAGCAATGTGACGTACACAATAACATTCCAAGTTCACAAAAAAAGCACGGAACGGAAGATATTTGGAACCACATAAAATTGTTCAATTGCACAGATGACTTCAAATCGACTTCAAATTCAGCAAAAAGTTTGAAAGTTTTTGTAGCAAGATTTGGTCAAACTGGTTAGAGCAGAAGCGCGCAGTGGAACGTAAACTGAACGCAATGTATTTTTTTAAGGAAATTATTAAAGTTTGAGGAGTGAAAATTCCCACATTTACTTTGCGAAACACTCCACTCTTTAGGTTCAATCGGCCATACTCACACAAAGTTACAAGTATTTATATTTTATTTTTTGCCCCTTTTTGAGGTTTTATGTTTATTTATCGTAAGGCAAATAAGACAGAATATTTAAAACTGTTTTGTACGCTCCTCAAATGGAGATATATTACCTGCCCAAAAATAAGTTGATTTTAAAATGACTATGATAGACACGGCAAATAATTTATTCTTAAGAATACCAGCGACATGAGTATTAAATAAAAGAACTTGAAGAGTAGAATGCGAAAGCGTATATAATTTCCTTGCTTGTATTCTTTTTTTTACAAAGGTGAAAAATATATTTTATTTTTACCTCCGCGTTAAAATTTGATTGATATATATACGTTAAGATGAAATTTCTATGCCTTTATATCGTATTCTGTGTCTTTATATCGTATTTTATTTGTTTCCAGTTTACCCATACCATGGCTTCTTTACGGTATCTTTTATGGCGCCCCTGTTGAAGTGAATTCGGTGGGCATGGTCTGTTCTATAACGATATTGTTTATGATGTTAATATTTGTCGTGATGTCAATTGCCTGCTTCCATTGGCGCATGAACAAAGGCTTAGGTTTTACGATGTTTTTGTTATATTTCGTTTTTGTTGCCGTCTCGTTAATGTTTGAATACGATGTAATAACATGTCCAGTGTAAAATGTTATGTTTAAAAGAAAAAAAAAAAAGCGAAACAAAACAAAAAAAAAATCTTCAAAGAAACTTTATATGTTAAAAAAATATGTTAATAATTTTAAGTAAATTTAAGATGGAAAGTAGAAAAAGGAAGCAAACATACAAAGAACGAAAGAAAATGTACTTTAGCAACAAAATTTTAGATAAAGCGATAACACGATTAAAAGAAATCCAAAAACGTTGCAAATAAAAAAAATCAGAAAATAAAAAATTAAAAATTTAACAAAGCGTTATTTGCAGCGCCAACGTGCTCACCAGTCGAATTCGTTTACTGTAAGCTTTCAAAACGATTTTAAGTTTCTCTTTAGTTATCTCTTATACTTCAAAGGAAAAAATTATAAAACCTTATGTTAGATGTGGGCATGCACGCAGGTGTAAAGTGATCAATAGTTTTTTTCTTCTTTGCTTGTGTTCAAATGTTTGGAATTAATTCTCGGTTGGCATGTGATAGATACTTTGGGGTTTCTGCTATACGAACGCTTAGAGAGTATTCTTTCCAAAACGGAATAAGCAGTCCTTCAACAATTAAAAAGAAAATCTGTTAGTTACTCATTCTTTATGAAGAATACCCCAAAACATCTCTCGATATCAAAAAATCATACTAACACGACAGAGATCTGAGGAATTGGAAGTAACCACTATTTCCTATTGACTTGTCACTATTTATGAAATGTGATTTTTATAAAATCATTTGTATGAAAGGCAACGACCACATTGTCCAAAACATTCCATGCCAACAACCTCGAAGTTCGCGTGCTTCCAAAATCGCTTGAAAACTCTTTGAAGCGAACGAAAAATTGCAGTTAAGTTATATACTCGTTATAACACCATAATAGCCGGATTAAAGATTCGAGCTTCTCCAGATCGCTTTACATTAAAATATAACGGAATCCAAAGAAACACTTACTTACTTATCAATACTTTCGTGCGCACGCAGGTTGACAGAAATGTACATATATGAAAATCTTCCATGTGCATGGTGAAGTTTGTATTAAATTTTTTCAAAAAAAACTTTTTACAATAAACGTGAAAACAAGTAAGATAATTGTATGCGACGCAAAACGAATCATCCATTTATCATTGCGTCTGCTTTTTCACCGATTTGATTCATTTTCAATAACGACGTGCGTGCACAAATGTGGAATGTTTCCAATAATTTTATTGCCAGACAGACGGACAAAGACGGCCACATTGATTTAGAGTTTCACGCTGCTACATTGGGGATGAAAACGAAACGCTTATACCCGTCATCCTTCAGTAGCGGGAATAATAAATTTTTTTATCAAATTGCAAATTTACGACATTTTCTTAAAAAATTCATTCTCGAGAGTTGCATTACTAACTAATACTAACTACAATCAATTCTACCCGGACGATTGATTACTCATTTAAATCTCAAGTGAACATCGAATGTACTTTTAATTTGTAAAGAAAAAAAAAACAAGACTTCATAAAGTGCTTTTTGTAAGGATTTTTCCGTTAGTAGTTAGCTCTCTCTTTAGCATTTTTAAATCTATTCTGTCTAACAATAGTAATAATTTTATTTATTTCACCTTAAGGGTATATAATAACAATAGTAATAACATTTTTAATATGAAATATTATTTCAAACATGAAAATTGTTATTTAACTTTATATATATATATATATATATTTTTATAAGCGAAACTACTTCTCACTCTTAAAGCTTTTTCAATTTGTTACTTAAAACTTTTACTTCAAATATTTATAAATGATTATATATTTAAAACATGATAAAAAAAAGCAAAAAAAAACATAAAAATAAGAAAAAACAAAGAAGAAAACTCAAAGAAAATAAATGTGTTTGCGCTCTCTTTTTCACTTTCCAAAGAATATCTTATAGATCGTTTGAAGCCTTAATTAAACCTTCAATTCAAGACGAAAGCAAACATTTTCTCTATACTCTACGAATAACTCCAAAAATGAAGCTTTACTTATATACCTTTAACGAAAATTCTTCTCCAAAGACCTATATAGAAAGTAAATTAAAACTAAAAACTAAATTCTTTAGAAAAATGTTTTTAAAAATTTAAAATTAAACAGCAATAATGAAATAAGAAACAAGAAACAAGAAACTCAAATTGAAAGTAAGAGATTTTTGAGAAATTGTGAAAGTTTGTACAAAAAAGACATTATTACTGCAAATGATCATATTCTGAATATAAACAGAGGAAATAGTTATATAATAATAATAATAATAATAACAACAACAACAACTAGGCATTTAAAATAATTTTAATAACATTAAAACTGAATAATAAAATTATATATGTATTATAGAATATGAGAGCAATAATTTATATATATCTATATATAAATATATAAATATATAAATATATAAATGTATATATATATATATATATATATATATATGTGTGCGTGTGCGTGTGCGTGTGTGTGTGTGTGTGTGAGTATGTGTGAAAAAGAAAGTCCTACAAATGTACGAGTCAAATCAATAAAAATAATAAAATTGAATTATGGTAATAAAAAAATTATATAATTAGAAAAGTACTATACTCTCTGTCTCACCATTACTATCGACAAAATTACAGAAACAAATATATATATGCACACACCCACACACGCATATATATAGATATATATATATATATTTCCACATCCCTCTCCTAAATAATCAAAAGAAATGAAGAAAGAGAAAATAAATTAAATCTTTATACTAAGAGATGACTTTTGAAATTATTAATGCATAACTGAAATTAAATAAATTTCCATAAGTAAAATTGAAAAAGTATTTAAAATTAGGCAATAAATTTCACAACCCAACATAATCATAAAGAAATTTCAAAATATGACTTAATGCAAGCAAAAGTAAATTAACTTGAATGTTGAAATTACTTGAATTACTTTATTTTAATTTTCTTAAACAAATACTTTTAAAAACAACAACAACAGCAAAAACAAAAACAATAACAATCGTTCGGGAAGAAAATTAATATTGAGAAACAACTTATCAGCTTAACAAAGAATACTTTCACACGTTCCTAAATTTCTCTCAATGCAATGTGGCAACGTCGCAGATTGACTTGAATGCTGAATGTTTTCAAATTTTCTAAATTATTCTTCTTCTTGTTCTTATTCTTATTCTTAGGGTGTTTGTATTTTTAACTTTTCAATTATTTCTCTTTCATATTCGTTGTTATACAAACAAAACAATCTCCCCAAGGCCTGTAGAAGAACAATCCGGAACTCTTAAAGGAATTAATGTTTTTATCATTGATAGGACTAACAGCATTCACTTGAAGTCCGCTTTACTTTCTATAAATGTGAATGTTACATAAACTTTTGATAGGGACGAAACACAAGACTTGAATGCATACCTTCCGTGTATCTCTAACTTGTTTGCGCATACATGTGACATAATGAGCGCGAATATCGCCTTCGTGAGCAAGACCTTGTATCCACATCCCCTAGCGCTCATTTAACAAATAAAATTAGAAAAATCTAAACTTTATAGTCAGATAAACCCGACAAGCAGATACCCTACACTTCAACAATACCTATCACAATTCTTTTCCTATCTATTTTCACTCTGACTATATCCCTAGCGTTTATTTAGCAAATAAAATGATAACAATTTAAACTTTGTAGTAAGGTGAAGCCGAACGACAGATACCAGATACATTATATGTTCACAATTCGTTCCCTATCTATTTTCATAAAATAACAAAAAGTGTATCTGTCTGGTTTCTTCAAAAGTCTTATCTATGCGAGAAGTTCCAGAACACAAGCTTTTTTTTCCATTTTTTTGATCGATTTTGGTGATGAAATACCAAAAATGAATAATTTTTTTTGTAAGAACAATTAAAACGCTTCCATTCATTTGGCCTGCCAAAATACTACATGTTCCCGACCTTTGGCGAGAACTACGTAAAATGAACAATTATATATTTCAAAATAAGCGGCTATACGGTAAGCAGTCGTATAAATCGTCCGAGTCAGTTTATTTTCAATAGCGTTCGTCCTTGAATCGAGACATATCATTTTCTCAAGTTCATCTGTCCTTCGCCTTCTCTCACCACTTACTTAATTTGGAAGAATGCATAAACTGATAGCTAGACTAAAGTAAAAAAAAAAAGAAGAAAACGACAACAGTTATCCTCAAATATCGATATTGGATATTGAGCACGCAAACCTATCCCTTCTTACTTAAGCTATCTTTTACTTTCCTCTCCTTATCATCTGTTTAAAAATTTCCCATAATTCGACTTCGACTACGGCTACGAGAACGCAAAGTAATATGCTATAAAATTCGTGAAACAGAGTCAGCACTTGAAAACTAAAAAATCCAATTTAAAAATAGAACAAAAAAAAAACAAAAACAAAAACGAAAAATTAAGCTAAAAATAAAAACATGCAAAGTACTAATAAAGAGATTGTTACGATGTTATAGAGTTTTAAAAAAAAGTTGACTAAAATTGCAAAATAGTTTATAGCTAGTCCAAGTTCATTACACAAGTTTAAAAACATAAAGACAATTATAAAAACAAAACATTTAATATTTAAGAAATTATTATTATATAATAAAAGCATTAAATATCATGGAAAATTTAATTTTGTTTATATAATAAAAACACGAAAATAAAAATAAAAATATTTAATCGAAAAGATGGTGTTTTCTGTTTAAGTTATCTATGTTTTTATTTATAAATCTGCCAATCCCTCTTTACATGTCTTTCGAGAGTAAAACGACGGAAACGATTTTAGGCACACAAAACAACAGAAACGAAACGCAAAAGATAAATAGCAATAAGCACTGTAGTGAAGGAAGAAGTGATGGCAAATTGAAACAATTTAAACACAAACAAATTTCTAAAAAAAAACCGTACGTAACATCAGACAGGGTTGAGGAAAGGAAAGCTCAAATTTTTGTGCGCTCTTTAAACTCTCGTCATAACACAATAAATGAAATGGATATTTAAACACGGTTTTAAATGAAAACTTTCAAATACCGCCTCATCTCCTCAATTTAGCAATAACAATAATATATTTATATGTATATATATACATATACATATATATATATATATATATATATATATAGACAACTATCGAAACATAGTATAAATCTATCCGTGTGGAAGATGACGGAGAAGCATAAGCAAAATTCTGCAAGGGATATTCTTCTCATCAAGTGCGGAACATAGTATAAATCTATCCATGTGAAAGATGGGGGAGAAGCATATGCAAAATTCTGCAAGGGAAATTCTTCTCATCTAGTGCAAACAAAGTTTGAATATCTAGCTCAACTATTAACTATTAATGCGTCGGTGTTATGGCCATTGTTGCTCTACTTCTGCTACGGTAGTTAACTACATTGCTTATAAGATTTAGATGAGGCAAATTTTGAATCAATATCGGTTATAGATCGATTGATTTGCAATCGCGTCAAATGTCGCATAGCTACCAAACCAAAATGTTTCTCAATCGACTTTCAGTTTAGTCTCCCGATAATTTTGTGGACCTATAATAACGTTTCCAATGTTAAACCTTTCCACTGCTTCTTAATATAAATAAATAATAATTATTGTACATTTTGCATAATTTACATATTCCATTAAATACCCTAGACCGCTTACCCTAACAGAGTTATTCAAATTGCCTTTTTTTTTCATATAACGAGTTTTCAAATTGAGACATTATATGAGAAGCAGTCGAACCGTCGTCAATAGGATCCGTCCTTTTCTTCAAAATATCTCAAAAATTGTGACCTGACAGACAGATAGACAAGCTTAGAACGATTCGGAAAATCATTTCGAATCGTTGGGGTTACTAAAAGCTGGATCTATCAGAGGAGCTCCTAACTGTTGTAAACAACACCACAAACTCAATATACCCCATATCGCAAACGGTGTAAGGCAAAGGGTTCAGAAGTTTATTCTCGGGGATTTTCCTTTATTGTGCGACCCTTAGCTAATTAGAAACTTGTGATTCTGTTACAATTTAATCGTACGGTGTCTGCTGTCAAAATTCAGTTCAAATAATTGTTTTTTTTTTTTTTTTTTAAATCTTCCTTTGATTTATTTGTTGCTATTTTATTGTGTTTCATTTGCCATGCAATATTCCTGCCTTTTTCAACTTCAGATACTACACTTCTTCCTACTTTTTTCAGCTTTCAGTCTAAGAACGTTTAATTCGTCTTCGGGCGAATCTTTAGATCATCCGCCACCTCATTGTCCGTGGTTTTCGCCTTTGCCAGTATTTGTGTCAAATTTTTACATAATATTCGCGACCGATTTGTTAATTGCTACCAATAATAAAGAGATAATGAAAAGTTTCCTTCTCCTTACCTTGGCTTGGTTTCCGTTTGATCTCTCTATCATTTTTACATTGGCGAAGATTACAAAAAGACATTAATCACTCAGTACATCAACGCAAACAAATTGAGTGATTCATAATATATTTGGAAATAACGTTCCGGTAGTGTGTGGTGGGTGTAAAAATTATAATTTAGTGAAAACATATAAT